TTCTGTATGCCAAATGAAGCTCACCGTGATTGATAAAAAGGTTTATAATTGGCTTTAATAGGTCAGGTATGATACTAATAATCCCCTTATAAATTGTGCATAATGCATATTTTTGCTTAAATTTGTTACAAAATATATGCATATGGATATATCTTCAAACCAAAAGGTATTTGAGCCAAAGCATGATTTGGGTCTTCACATTTACCAAAATTGATTAAGAAGTCCCATATTGGGAGTGGCGCAGTGGTACTTATCTCTCAGCCTTCACGACCCCCAATCGGGGGTAGGAGATTGACCAAAGAATATTGCACGCGTCTCGTGATTAGTTATTTTAAGGTGGTATTTTTAATAACATATTACTTGTAAACACAGCCTGCTGGAACTCATTTTGTCAGAAATGGATTGAAATGGTGATAGGAAAGCGAAAATTGAGACGACTCGAGCAGTGATATAAGCTAAGCTGTTGCAAACATCGTGACCAGTATGAGCAGTTAATTTATGCAATTGCCAAGCTCATGCGCGCCTCCTCACGGGCAACGGCCTTAACATGCAAGCGATCTAATTTGTGCAACAATATATATGAATCTGTGTGCGTGTGTGTGTGTGTGTGCTGTGTGAATCTATGCCTAGGCGGGCGAACAAGACCATCTCCGGAGTGCTACTCGATCGATGAAATAGAAGCAGCCCCAAAAGCCTTAGTGTGTTTAGGGCAGACGAGCCCAGAACCGATTTATCTCATGTTGCCGGGGCCCGAGAAAAATGCCTGACAAATGGAATTGTGAGGTTGGCAGGACAGAGAAAACCAGCCGTCTCGGGTGGGGCGAAGTTTCTTGAGCAGAACGGATTGTTCAAGCCAAAACCACATTCAAAGGCATGCGAAAGTATTGGCCCGATGAGTCAGACACTGAAAAGAAGTGGGAGTCTTGATCGGACTGGAGGCAGTGACCGACCTTCAAAGGGGCCTGGTCGCGTGAGCCACGAGTGAGGCAGGTTGAACGGGCAATGTGCAGCCGGAGTCTTTTAAACTGACAGAGTTTAGTGATCGATGCGAAGCCGGTGTTTCAGCGCTTGCATTTCTGCAACTTCAACACCAGTGTGGGGCTTCAGTTGAGCAGGCGAGCAGGCGAGCAGTAGGTGTACGGTTGCTCACTAACTCGACTCAGTTGGCGCGACTCGGTTGAGAAATGCAAATGACCAACAACATTCGATTGCCAAGGCCGAGCAGATGAGTGCGGACACGGCTGAGCATTCGCAATACAATACCTACGGCTCGAGGAATAAGGGTACGGTGAGCACAACGATGAGGCGATGCGCATGTGTGTGTGATCTAGTGAAATGGTGATAAAACGATGGTGTCCACACTTGCAAAGGCATTGCACGCAGCATAAAGGCCTCATTTATGCACGAAATCGCGAGACCACGAGACTGCAAAATAGCGAGTAGAATAGGGCACTATGCCTAGGCCTTGGTGACATGTGGAATTCATTAGGACCAATAAACACAGTAAAAGTCGTTAGTACTTCAAGGACATTGCAGTTCTTAGGGGCTGAAGGGGCTCGTGATTAACTCAAACCCCAGCAAACCTGAATTAAAGTTACTCAGACAATCTCCAAATTAATAGAGAAATACATTGGAAATTGAAATGATGGGACCTATCGTACATAATCTCTCGGTAGCACAGCATAGTAAAATAATGCATTAAGTGGATGTTGGGGAAACAAATCATTTCAATGTAAGTTTCCTTGAAATGAATGTCAGCCTTTTGGATGAATTAGCATAGAGTTAGATCGATATGTGCTCATTTGATTAAGGACACAAAGCCTCAGTCATAGTAATGCTGTACGAGGATGGCAGTTTACCCTTGGTTTAAAAAAAGACAGACGTTACAAGTAGTATAGACCTTATTCAAAAAGTACTGGTATTCTCGAATATGACTTATAAC